GTAGCCAGTTGCAATTCAGCAGGACAATGAAAAAGTTCCTGGATGAATCTAGTGACGGATAACCATTGCATACAGATCATATAAAATATTAGAGCTAATAATTTCAGGTATTATCCGTCAAAAATATCATAAACAACATGAACACATTTTTTTACAATACAACCTGAGAAAGGCAGTTCACCACTCATCATAAACCTCCGCCTCCTAGCCACACATACACTCTGTATACTTGTTTCACTAATCTACCTGGATACCCTATACTTGGTTAGATTTTGGAAACTTGGTCAATTGTCAATCTAATCCTAGTGTTGAAGGCAACAAATGTATAACTGAATAAATTCCGACAGGAAGTAGTTCAATGGTCAACAGAATCCCAGAGTACCAAAAAACGAATGTAGTAGCTAAAACGCTTTGTTGTTGATAGGCTTGGCGAGCCAACGTAAAACCTAGCCGTTCTATGGAGATGAAACACAATAGAAATCTCCCCAACTTGTTTGGGACTAAAAGGCTTTGTTGTTGTTGTTGTTGTTGTTGTTGTAGTAGTAGTAGCTATATACTGTTATAGTTAACAAGCAGCACATTGCATCAGAAGCCTCTAGTTGAACCATGTGTTCTGCTGATTAGATAAAAATGTTCTGAAAGTTTACAGGTAAGTTATTCAAGCCTTGACAATTTCATCATTTACCATCTCCGGCAATTCGGCTGCAGATTTTAATATTCGACACGCTCTTCGACATAACAGAGATTATGCTACTATTTCCGACTTAACATAACAGTAACTCCAATAAACTGCAGATTTGGGGAAAAGTGAAGAACATAACATTAAATGGTTCGTGCCATCAATTTTCACATAATCATCATATCAACTTCTGCAATTAATCCAACCACAACAAAGACGATGAAAATAAAATGGCGCAGTGACGAATCACGCTGATGGTCGATGGTCTGCGAAAAATTATTATCACGAATCTGAACAGCAAACGAGATAAACCCTACCGCTAATTGCTGCAACTCGAATCGCAAAT